TTTCTGGCCTATTTTCTCTTTCTGGCCTATTTTCTCTTTCTGGTCTATTTTCTTTTTCTGGCCTATTTTCTCTTTCTGGCCTATTTTCTCTTTCTGGCCTATTTTCTTTTTCTGGCTTATTTTCTCTTTCTGGTCTATTTTCTCTTTCTGGCCGTTTTTCTCTTTCTGGCCTTTTTTCTCTTTCTGGCTTTTTTTCTTTTTCCGGCCTTCTTTCTTTTTCCGATCTAGCTCTAGCAGCAGTAGTAGGTTTCAAATCGATAAGCTTAGTCCAGCTACCAGGAAAATTTGCTACAGCAGAAGCAACTACAGAAGCATTTTGAATAGTAGATGCTATCCTGCGTGCGGTTTGCTTTATTAAATCACCCTTCTTGGTTTCATTTTTATGATCTTCCTTTTTAATGTTCGACGAGTCATTCGACGCTTTTGTGTCATTTGTTCGTTTACTTGAAATTGCAGATATTTGCTTTTCAAAACTGATTTGATCCTGAATTCTTTCCATAAGTTTTAATAAACTTGATAAAGCGTTTTCATCGTCTAGGTTTTTTTCTTCCCTTCCCTCCTGTATTTCACGAAGTATTGACCCTTTACGATCTATTTCAGATTGACTATCCGCTGGAATTACGGACTTGGCATCGATCTCTCCCGCTGCTAATCCTGGCTTAGCAGTAAAGGGAAGTTTTCCAGATCCATCAAAGTGTTTGAAACTTTCACTCCATTTTTCAAGCCATTTTTCTCCACTGGTAATCTGTAAAAAGTAAAAATTTCATCTAAATTGATTAATTCTAGCATTTGCTTGCCTCCAAACTTTGAAATATAAAAGCAAAATGCTTCTAGGTGTATTGTTTTATTAGTGAGTATCTCAACGAGTGTTAGTTTCGAAAACAATAGCTAACTTAGTTCGATTTTATAATTTTTGTTTGACATACGTTACATCGTCAGAAAATAAAATAGATTCAGTAGATAATTGGGATCCGTCAAATGGGCGGGGCTTAAAAAGCATGGCGGCGAGTGGTATAATATATAGTCCCTACAATATACAGTGAAATTATGAATTCTTTAAAATCGATAAAATGATAAGTATCAGCACAATAATGCGATTGGACTTACAAAAATAATAAAAAAAGAAGTTTTCTTGAAGGGGAGCGTTTGTTTTAATGCCTGTCATACCATAAAATTAGGAAAAAAGTCTGAAAAAGAACATTATGGTAAAGAAGAAGAACAAAGAAATTCGATTTTGGTAACGCGCCTATCACGTAGTGGTGAGCTATGCCGTGGATTCAGTTCAGCTAGTAGATATCCATATATTTAAATAGACCTTGTTGAGCATAATGAATTCCACTAAATGTAGCATTGTACTACAGATGGCGCTTACCGCGCCATTTGTAGGATTTCATGGAAAGCAGGTTTAGGTGAACGTTGCAAGCATATTATTGCAACATTACTTTATTAGAACAAGTAAGACCCTAACTTAAAAATAGTCATAATGTATTTTCAGTTTGGAGTTAGCTTAATTTTTTTAGCCAAAATATTTAATGCTTTTGTACAGATTCAATTAGTAAAGTAAATTTTTAATATCAAAATAAGTATAATATCTGCCTACTAGGTAAAATATAGTTATTTACTTACACCAAAATGATGAGCAGATTGATTTCATCCAAAAATCTACTATCAAATTTTTCAAACATATTTTTATGTATACAAGATAGTAGGTGCCATTTAGACTGTCAGATAGCGATAGAAAACAGAAAACAATTTTTTAGAGTATACCAGCGGTGAGGGACATATTTACAACCACAAGTTACATAACAGTGTATTAAATAACATGATTAACGCATTANGATAGAAAAAAACCAATTTTTTACAGTCTACCAGTGGTGGGGGACATATTTACAGCCACAAGCTACAGAACAATGTATTAAATAACATGTATAACGCATTAATGCATGTATAAACATTAACATTAGGTTGCTCAAAAAAGCAGCTTCTCAAAACAATTTTTTACAGTTTGACATAATTAATTTTTAACAGTGGTTAATATGAAAAATTAATGAGAAATTTCATTTTCGAATTTTTATCCACTACAGACTACCTCAAGTTAATGAGGGAAAATTTGTTGCTGTTGTCACACCCTCGCCGGGAATCGAACCCGAGACCTTTGACAACGAAATATAAGAACATCTCATCTCTCGTTGCTCAGCGGTCAGGGCATTGGTGGGCGTAAACCCAAAGGTCCCAGGTTCGATTCCCGGCGGAGGGTGTGACAACCGGAATACAAAAATTTTCCTTCGTTAACTTGAGGTAGTTTGTAGTGGGTGAAAGTTCGAAAATTAATTATCACATTAACTTTTTACAGTCTGCTTTCATTTCAATAGAAGGCAATACTTATTGTCAGACAGTTTTGTCAGCTACAAGACTTTACGATAGTAATATTAGTTTATATAAAAATCATGTAACTTGAAACCATTTTTAACAGAACCCGAAAACAAATTGTATAGATCAAGTACATCGCAAAGGTCTTCTTTTTATTATCGTTAGGGCAACAATCCTCTCCTTTTTAATGATGGACTTGGTCGAATTTTTAACTTTTTCAAGTAGACTAAAAAACCGAAAAGCTCGCTGTAATATTAACTGACAAAGACAAAAAGCTTCCCCAATATCTGTTTTATATTTAGCAGCTAAATTCATGATGCCTTGCATAGAAGAGCATATATCAACTAATGTCTCTAACCGCGTAAGCTCTTAGAACTTGTAATCAGGTGGATACAGTAGAATCAATTTTTCGGTATTTTCATTTGTCTTTTTTTTTGTCTTAAATGTTTGTAAGAATATTTGATATTGAATTCAAATGTTCTACACCAAAAAGTTTGTAATTTTATCTTAAGGGCTTAAAAATTCTTTTCTATAAAAGATATTTATATCAAAGCTCGCTGCATTGGATTCACAGTTACAAAAAATTATCAGTTTTTGTCGGAAATATTCGTTTTCGGGGATGTCTGAAAATCCTGTTCTCGATTAATTTTAATTTTTCTAGCAGTTTTAGCACATCCTATTAAGTTACGATATACGTTTTCCTGTTGTTTTATTGAAATTAGGAATTATCTAGGTAGACCTGCGAGAGTTCAGTGAACACAGAACTAAAGACTGATATTATTTTTAGGTTCCTACAGTAAAACTTCCTTATTCACGGTTTCTTTATTCGCCGGTTAAAAAATTGCAACCCAGTTCTTGTATTCGCGGTTAAAAATTTCATTATTCGCGGATGCAATCGGTAAACAGAAAAGGATTCACTGTCGTTTATTAAGGGGATTGATCGCAATCGACCGCTCGTACCTAGCGTGAATTTTTCCGAAAACATGGGTTTCTATTCTAAATATTGTGATTTAACGCTGCAAGATAAATATCTGATTTTGTGTATGGTAACAGACAAAGATTCACACTAACTCGATACGTTCTTTTTTTCAATAATATCGTCATTAAAAGCTTTTACAAGTGCTTAAAGTTGATGCTTTTTGTAGGACACGTATTCTCAGTAGAAATTAAAAAAATTAAAAATGGCCTTCGACAAGCTTTAAAGCAAAGCTTTATCTATCTTACTACAAAATTTCAAACCCCTGTTCCAAATATTAAACTCATGATAATTAGAACCGATAAGCATGTTTTTACTCTACGGCGCGTGTACTACTGAATCCCCTTAATGTATCGGCATCTCTTGAGTATGTACAGTTGGTACGTACCGAGGCAGCTTTTATGAAAGATGTAACAGAGTAAACAGAAAAGGATTCGGTGTTATTTTTCAACGTATCGGCATCTTTTAAGTACTAGTTCAAAATTGGCATCAATAGTCGTCTTCTAGGGCAATTTTATGCTGTGTTACAGAAACTGTATGTGATTTAATAAAATTATGGTATAGGAATAAAGAACTAAAAAATCATTACCTAATGAAATAAATAAAGCATTTAATTAAACAAAAAAGAAAGCTCACCAACCTATACACATATGTATCTACCTATCTGGCAAATTAATAAGGATATTTGGTAAAACTAACCAGCAATATTTATTACACAATTTCGTTTCGATTGCCACAAACGAGCAACTAAGTTAATAATTAAGAGAATTATGCGTTTTTCATAATAGAAATGTCAAACATAATGAAGGTGTACAAAACCTACTTAATTCCATTTCACTTTTACAGTCGATTGAGAAATAAAAATGAGTGATATGTTTACGAGATAAAGCTAATTGGTATATTAAAGTTAACAAACAGAAATTTATTGCCTTGTAACTTTAAATTTTGGGCAGATAAACATAATTTCGTAGATACAATATCTACAATATATTTCTTGTTATATAATACTAATAAATATAATTTGTAGTGGGTAATCTACATTAGTAATTAAAGATCTCTTTAGGTAGCAACATGGCGAATGGGCATGTATGAACAGTTAACATTTTTGATGTACTACCCAATAACCTAATTTAATGTTAAATTGTGAGTTTTGGTTAATTGAAATGCGTACTAAAAAATAAAATAACTAAAGGTAACTAAAATTTAATTTTTTCTGTTTTAGAATCTATAGTAAAGTAGAAACAAATATTACTTATTGCTTTAAAAGGTTAATGGTACTGGAGCATTTTGATGTTAATAATATTTTCTTCAGCAAAGACATGTACAGTGGTGTACAAAGAATTTCAGGTTAGGACAAAAAGAATTTCTAAATTAGAAGCATTCCTGATGTCAGATGGGGAGCTAGAAAAGGAGTTGGAATTTAATATAAGTTGGAAAACATGTACAAGTATTAGAAAAAGAAGACTTTTTACTCTTTGTAGAAAAACGTGAAATTCATATAATTGGGACGACGTAAGCAAATGGTCTTAAGATTTCTTAATAATTGCGGTGACTATGGATCAGAGAGACGGAAATATTATATGAAGCAACTTTAATATGTTTAGTTTATCCTCAAGCGGTAAGGCAGTGTGTGGTCTAGTGAAGAGCGCGACGTTTTATTATTTTTTCAACTTAAGAATGACATTAGTGATTAGTATTAGTGAAATTCATTAAACACCATACAAAGCTTCACTTCTAATGTAGTCAGTTTTGACTGATACCTATTTTTGGGTTTTTAGCTATATTAGCGTAATGGTACCTTCGGTTAGAATACAAAAGAATACTTTTCATGTAATGCAGAAAAAACTGTATGTAAAATAACATGGCAAAATGAAATGGTTTCAACATCGGATAAGTAAGAGTGCGGGACGACTGGTCACACTGCTAACGCTCGCTAAAAAGTTCGAGCTCTTGCAGCCAAGCATTTCGCAAGTATAGTGTGTGCGTATAATGGTTTCAAAGAAAAGATACACGTGTTGAAAAAAATAAAAAAGTTTATTGTGTAACTCTCCTTATGACTAAAAGTACAGGGTGATTTTAGTTCTAGTGATATCAATTACTAAAATTCAGTGCTTCAGTGCTAGAATGTAAAGTGACACTAGTGGCCGAATTTTGACTACAGGTGATACTGCTACAATTAAATTATAAATTACTAGGTTTTAGCGACAGCTTCGTTTGCGTTGATGTCGTAAATATGTGTGAAAGATCATCGACGATCATATAAAACTAATTTATCNGACAAAGGTTTACACTAACTCGATACGTTTTTGGTTTTCAATAATATCGTCATTAAAAGCTTTTACAAGTGCTTAAAGTTGATGCTTTCTGTAGGACACGTATTCTCAGTAGAAATTAAAAAA